TATGAGCGTGATTTGTGAGTCCCTTCGAGAACTTGTGATTGAAAAGAGATTGCGTTTCTAAGAAAACAAATGAAGATTCCTTAATGTTCTAATAATACTTATTTCAATACTTCAAGACAAGCAACGAACGGCAGTTGCTTAATCTAAAGGTGCGTTATTATTTAAAATAATCTAGTTCGTCCGGTCACTTCTCCGTTCTCTGACGCTCCTCCTTCGTCTCTGCTGCACATAATGACTGCAAATAGAAACAAACAAACTGAATGTAAACGGACAGTTTTATCCTATGACTTGTTGGGTTTTTGCAAAACCGTTTCTGTGGGAAAAACATTTTTCATATTTTAGGACAACCTGTCCTCCTTCGGTTGCAAGCCGTCACAGTAAAATGGTCCAAGTTTGTGACAGCGAGCACTGTGCTAAAATGATAACCTTATTTTATTTTTGGTGAGGCAGGGGGAAGGTGGTGTTCTATTTTATTTACGGTAAACTTCAGACATAGGATGGGACAACAAACATTGGCCCGTCCGGCTCCGCTCGGAATCTCACTCACCAATTGGGGACCAGTTCGGGCTCCTCGCATGTCAGGGTGGAGTCGTCCACGACCAGGTCCTCTCCGCACGAGACTATCCTCGGGTGGCCGTTGACGCACGAGATGAGTTTCTCGCAGTCGCCCTCGATGGCGAAGCGTGGGTACGGCCAGAAGCGGGCCGAGACTGGGTCGGAGGGGATGCCCGACGGGCACTTGAACCCAGTCACCTCTGTACACGGGGAAAAAGATCTCGGGTTAGTGGCACCAGGCAATCTTCGTCTTCGTGAATGGCGGTTTGTTTTCGTATTCGGGAGGCTTATTTGTGGAAAAGTCAGCAGGAGGTGCCGATTTGACGCGGGAGAAACTAAACCAAAAGTAGACGACGCTGCTGTTTTTACCTCTTGGAATAGCGCAGTAGGCGGGAGAACTTCAAGGGGACTTGTGAGTGAAAGTAAGTACCCCATATCCCTTAAAATGGCGGCGCCTAGACTCTCTGCCCCATGGAGTACTGCCATCGGTATGCTACACAGCAAACCGAAGTGTGTGATGTGAATGCCGCACACTTGCCTGGTAGATGTATGTGTGGATTTTTATTTGCACACCTAGAGGTAGCAGGCTCCCGAAATCATTTAATAAAATATATGGAATTCAACGTAGACCATATACAATAAGTATGTGCGACTGTAAATTCACATTCAATGTTTAAAACAATTATCGAAATGTCACAGCAAGTTTGTTATGAAAACAACCTCGCGAGAACCCTCGTCAATTTTTTGGAAATCACAACTGTCCGTCATATCAGAGAAATGATCACGAAAGATTACAAATTTTCAGTCAATTTGAAATAGTTAAGAAAAGAAATAGGCTGCTTACAACTTACAAATATTTTAAACAACCAACACAACCAAAACAAACTCTTTTTGGGTTGTGTTTTTAAATTAAAATTCCAAGAAAGTGGTGTGGTATTTTACAAGTTTTGCTTCATAGTGTTAAAAATTCACGACAAATATTTGACGTCGTTACTCACGCTCCGCGGTGCAGCCGATGTGCTCCAGCTGGTCTGGCCACTGGCAGCGGTGGATGGTGACGTCGAACGCCAGCCCCGGCGGGCACTCCACCAGCTGGGCGCGGCCAAACTCGCAGCGGGTGTACTTGCCGCTGCACGCCCCCGCCGTATCCGTGTACAGACCGAACTGGAACTCGCAGCCGTCGGACGACAGGGGAATCACTGCGGACAAAAGTCACATTCGGAGAAACGTCCACTGTGCTAAATACCCTTGTTAATTTACAACATTTTGTATTTGCAATAAACAAAATATTATCTAAATTTACGACAGCGTACTTTGCATGCTGAGTGAATCCCGAGACGATTCATGAGAGTATACTCCATGGACGATTCTTAGTCCTTGTAACTTTACAAATTCATTATTAATTCTACAACGTGCAGTTCCATGCAACCCTTGTAAGTATCTCTTACAGAGTCACCCGGTCGCTACTTTAACCTTTTATTTGGTCAAAACTATGATCACAGGCACCGCAAGTATGAGAAGTTTACGTGGCCGGTTTAGTGGAGCAGGCTTAAAAAAATGTTAATAATTAGTGATAATCCGCCGTTGTAATAGTCTCTGAACACGTGCAGGTATTGAGAGTCTCAGCAATACGCAAACTCAAAATAATGTCTGTCAAAAATGTGTTTTGTTTTAATTTATTATTAGCTTAGTTTTCTGATATACTCGCCATATTCGCAAGACGTATTGCTTCCAAATAGAAGCTTTTTTACATCCAAAAAGGTTCTATCTGATGCCTATTTAGTAGCGTTAGTGAAATAACAGCACCTGTAGAGAAGCGCTAGCTATTTTCGGCAATTTTAGTGCATGTACAGAGGCAGAAGTGCCTTTGCAAGTTGTTATATATCACATGTGTTTTCCTAGTCGTGTAGCCGATATTTTTTTGCGTGCAGGGTGCCGTACTCTTCTTCCCCTAATATACTCCAGCTTACACTCCAACGCCCTGTTGCCGCAGTCGACGTCCCAGTGGTAGTGGCAGTGGTGGTGGGTCGCCCCGTGTCCTCCCTTGAACAACAGTCCGTTTTGGCAGCGCTCCAGGGTCAGAGTGCCGTTGCTGCACAGGTAGAACTGGTCGCACAGCTCGGGGTGGGGGTACGTCTGGACGCCCTCCTTCTCGGGGCACTCCACCTGCGGCAGCGATGCCACCTGCTCCGCAGCTGCAAACAAGTCAACGGTCGGCGAATCTTGTCGAGAGCCCCGCAGCTGCACTGCTGTCTGTCTCTGGCTGGTGAAACTGATTTCGTTTTGTGTAATCGATACCAACATTGTAGGAAAATTGTGACAACTGAGCTCTAAATGCCAATGGACAATTTTGTATCCACAAGCCAGGATGTGTTTATTAAGAACATCTTAATCGGATACAAATTTTTGTCTGAAAAGTTACAAGTTTCACCCATCCTAAGTACAGTTATTTTTCTTCGTGGTTAGGTTAGTCTCCCGCCAATGCAAACTTAAAGTTAAGCTGCGTGTTAATGTTTCCCTAGAACCGTTTGACAATGATGGTGATCCATACCACCTCTACGAAAAACCACAGTTTTAAGTGTGGCTAGTGTCGTGTCGTTTTGAAATGGTTGAGCACCTGGAACTGCGGCTGCCTCGAAATTCTCATCCCTGTTCATACGTCACTCATACCTGTGAGGTGTAGCACGAGGCAGGCCGTGGTGGTCACCACTGCGGTCAACGTGGAGGTCATGTTCACGGCCTTCGCTGATGTCCGCGATAGCGCGACGGCACCCGGGCTCGAGCTTCCTCACTCCCGTGAACTTGAACGCGGTCTGAACGTCCCAACTCCTCTATCTGGCCACTGGCTCGGTGGCTCCTCCACCCGTTCGACCTGATTCTAATGTGAACAGTCCCGGGGCGGTAGTGGGGGACACGACGGTGAGGACGCTGATGATGACGGTCCCGGGTGACGGAGAAGGAATGCAAGGGAGTCGCGAACCGCTATGCGGGGCGGCCATTAACGAACTGGACGCGTAGCAGTGCTGCACTTCCCCCCTGCGGTGCCAGCGACAAAATGGAAGTGTTGCAAAAAAGGAGGGTGTCGGTAAAAAAAAAAGGGTGGGCTAACAAAATGTGCGGCGCTTGGCTAAAGGGTGGGAGGGCTTCACAGTTTGTGGGTACGCAGATAGCTCTGGCGCTGTTTGATTGTCTTCGGCCATCGAACCTCCTTCCCCCTTCTGAGTCTACTTACCTCCTAGCTTTCACTGAAAATGGGGAAGTAAGGGTATTCTAGATAGAGGTAATGGTAGTTCCTGTTTTCATTATTTTTTTAAAAATAAGTACCGTTCATCTGTCTAAAAAGGTCGTTGTCTATTTATCCACATTTGTCAAAAGTAATAAAATTATGGTTTCTATCACATGGCATTATTTGTACATTTCTAAATCGATAGCTTAAAAAGTCAATCACAAGCCAACATAGGAATGAAACTTCTACAAACTAAACTGGTAACGTTCGAAATTAAACAAAAAAGTAATTGTGATGCGAGGCGAGGCACAATTTTTCGTCTCGAGGAAAGTCACTGGTATTCTTCATGTTGCACTTCTTTTGCCCCGGGTGCTGCGTTACTTCCTCAGATGGGCGCTGAAAGAAAATGGACGCGGTAATTAGTGCCATTACCTTAAGTAGAACAACATTTTGCTTGAACGTTGGTTCACTTTCGATTCAAAATCGGTGCAGGTGCAGAGAGGAACAATTGGTTATTTTTAGTCACCACCGCACCCCTTCCACTCCTCTGTGCCGCACGAATGGCTGCCTACCCACTGGGCGGCACGACTCACCAGGAGGGAACGAGCTCGGGCTCGTCGCAGGTGAGGGACTCGGCGTCGAACACCTTGTCCTCGCCGCAGGCCGTGATCCTGGGGAAGCCGTTGACGCAGGTGATGGAGCGGGTGCAGTCGCCCGGGATGGCGTACCTCGGGAACGGGTAGAATTTGGCGGCCTTTCCGCTCACCTTCTCGGGGCACTTGAAGCCGACGATCTCTGCAGGGGGGAAGAGTCGGTGGTATAAGAACTCACTGTGAGAAATTGTCGTACCGGGTACGGTACAGAAAAATTTGCCATGGACGAAGTCGTACAAGCATAATCTAAAATTGTACAATTTACTTGTCCTACGTATCGACTTGGAATCGAATATTGAGCGACAGTAGGAGGTTGTACATGTACGACTCGTATTGTAAATGGCAAATTACAAAATATATTGTACATGTACAAATATATTTTTCATAGTGCTCGCGATATATGCCTATGCCGGACGCTGCGCGTTACCCTTTCTTAAGGCCAAAAAAACATTTTCCACCCACGCCCACTTAGCTTTCGTTGGCTTTTGTTGCACCGATATTAACATTCATTGTTTTCGCTGTCACTTTAGAGACTGTTCTACAATCGGAATCAATATAAAAACTACATAACGAAACTAGGAATACTAGGTAATGTAAAACCGTTGTGGCACCATCTCTATGATATCGAAACTTTGACAGACCGATATAATTTTAAATCATGAAATTCACCACCTGTAATCGTCGTGTTTTTGATACCTGATATCGTTTCAACGTCGATTCGACATCGATTTTGGTTTCTTACTGGGTTTGTCAGTGCGTCTATGACAACTTACGCTCGGGGTTGCAGCCCTGCTCGAGGAGAAGGTCGGGCCAGTTGCAGGAGTGGGTGCGTTCGTCGTAGGCGAGGCCGGGCTCGCAGGACTCAGGGTGCACCGCGCCGTACGCGCACTTGTAGTAGTTGGTGGAGCAAGCGGCCTCGGCGTAGATACCGAACTGGAACTCGCATCCCGGGGTAGACAGGGGCACCACTGGAGAGATAGAGTCATACTAATTATTTGACGTTTGTAGACCTTTCTATAGAAGAGCGGTTGGCGTGCAAGCTGACTACCCCGTTTGCGCTTTTTCGTTGTAAACAGTGCGCACAACATCATTGTCTAGACTTTTCTCCGAGGGGGACTCAAAGGGGGATACAAAAATCAGTCGCCTCCCTTTTAAAAACTATGGTAAAAACTCAGAAAAATAAAGGAAAAAAGAACAGAACATCAGACTGCTGCTTTTTAAATTTAAAAACCCACAAAAAACGTCAATAAAACTATTTTTTTTAAAAAGAGAGTAATTGGGCTACGCTTTAAATTAGATTCAGATACTCACACTCGTACTTGCGCGCGCCGCAGTTGACGGCCCAGTGGTAGTTGCAGTGGTTGTGCACGGCGCCCTTGCCGTCGAACAGCAGGCCGTTCTCGCACACCTCCTCGGTGAGGGTGCCGTTGGTGCAGAGGTAGAAGTGGTCGCAGAGGTCCGGGTGCGGGTAGGCCTGGACGCCGTGCTGCTCTGGGCAGCCCTGCCCGCTCACTGTGGACGAGAACACGACAAATTATAGAGTCGCATATTTTTCATGTCGCACTTTTTTCGTCAAGCTTTGCCGATTGTATGATTAAAGGTACATTGACTTGTCACAAATATGTCGTTTACACGTTACACTGATAAACCAGGTGTTGAAGGTTGTTCTAAGGAAGTGTGCAACTGAGGAGCTGAACACTATACCCCGAAAAATTGTCTCTTGTTTCAAGTAAATTTTAACTATTTTTCTGGGTGTAAAAAGTGCACATCTACCAAGTGGAACACTTGCCAGTATGGAGTTGAATGCTTGCAAGTGTTAAGCTGCGGCACTCTTTGGTTCATATATGTGTATTTGTTCTTATTATTCATTTGCATTACTGTTACTAAACTTTTGCGCGGTGAAAGGCCAGCGCCAGCCGGGCGTGCCGTATGACGCTTGTCTTTGCACCGCCTTCCTCATAAGGCGCTGCTCATATTACGAATAATGCGGTCGATAATGCGCGGCCGGGCACAGAAGGCGGTGAAGTGCAACAGCGCGAAAGTGAGTGGCGGCGGCGGTGCGGCGGAGGCGGCGAGGCGCGCCTTGCGTCACTGTACAGCCGGAGCAGGGATGCCAACACAAACGGCCGCCCAAAACAGTTACCTCCAAGCACCCTATCGGTCTACTTCGGGGCGCCGAGCGCGCAAAGTACAGCACCGCAGGGCTGCCAACGCAGAAGGCATTCAGCCCCAGCCCTGCCTTGCGCACGACTCAGCTCGACTCGACGTGAAACCTAGTTTTTTAGTCGTTTATTTGCCAACAGTGCATGTTAATATAGTTGGATGTCACCAGCATTTTTGGTCGAGGGAAAATCACGCTAAAGCGCCTCAAGTTTTGCGATCCGCTCGAGATGGTCGCCGAATGAATCCCCCCCCCCCTCACAAATGCGGTCGACCTGGGATATTATCTTCTCATCATTGAGAGCCCATGCCTGACCGCTTAAAGTGTTTTGCAGTCACGAGATTCACTCTGCCGATCGGAAACACCTGGCGGTCGAGAGCTCGGCGATGGATAGGCGGGTGGGAGAGGCGAGGCGCCGTACGTGTAACACCGCTCGGGCGCTCTTGCACGGAACATTGACCAAATCATCCGATGGGATAACACCTCTCGCACGGGCGCGAGAACACGAGTCTTTTGGAGCGGGAGGGAACGCGAGCGGAGACCACCCGCGCCGCGCGCCCAGATGTCTGATGTGAAACGACACGCTCTACTAACGGGGACATTTTAATACTTTACTTGCCGGACACAAAAGAGGTGTGAGTCGTGGTCCACACTTTGGCCCATGATTTTGTTCGAAACGCACTCGCTTTTCTTGAAAAACGATCATAGTTTCCTGTCGGTACATTATCGATAATCAGGTGCGAAGCGACATTTTTAAGGCCTGTGGGGGGGACGTCCTTTTTTGGACCATTCCTCGACAGCGACTGCAGGAAATTTCGGTGAAAGAAATTCTGATTCTGTTACGCTGGTACTGACGGACTAACGACTTTCATACGTAAGTAATTTCTCAGAAAGATCGTCTCTTGTCATTCGCCGTTACGGATCTGCCAAGTCTACACTCTCTCACCTCTCTTAGCGCCTGGTGGGTAGGCAACATCTTGCCTGCAATGCATACATGTAATGCGGGGTAGCCTACCCACAGTTTCACAGGCGCCGTGCTCTTGTTATTTGCCGACTGAATCTGAGAAAAACTGACGTACTTTCTAGACGATTCTTAAGTCGATCTCGCGAGCACGGGTGGTGTTTTAGGGCGGTGTCTTAGTTACGTTTCATAACTCCGATCTGGTCCTCATCCTGTTCGAGTTCGTTTACGACTGCCGGCTTCCTCCTCCTATTGCGATCAGGATTGGAAGAGTTATTGCACATCACATCGGACAGCACGCAAAGAGGAAGCAGCGAGAGACTGATCCAGAGGGAAATTAGTAAGTCGAATCGACGAGCTCTGCGTTGCAGCTGTGAAGCCGCTGTACAACGAGACAGTCCATATAAATTATATAGTAGATCGCTTTGTTTCTTCTGGAAAAAAATGATTGCTAAAATGCTGTCTTTAACAAACCCAAAAAGACAAACTAAATTCTAGGGCATACGTCATACACAACAGTGATAACTTCTTCGCCTATAAAACACGGACAAATATTATGTTCGGATTTTGAAAACTCATTAGAATTATTCCTTGTCAAAATTCTTCACACAACGGCCTTTCCATTTTTTTCTTTAAAATTGGCTTATTTGATAATTACCTTAAAGAGAATAGTCACGAACAGAGTGCTGTCAATATTTTTAGCTAACTTCTATCCATGAAAGAAAAGATCAAATACTTGAAATTCTAAGCTATTTTTTCTAGGTTATACGACTGCGCGTTCACTTATACCAACCGGCATTTATTTAGAAGGCTTATCCCATCCTTTTAATACCAGGATGAAGGATGAAGGTGCGCGTTTTCCAGGGACTTTGATTTCCCGGTGTTTTTGGAGTTATTTTTTTCAGATTAAAACAAAAACTCTCTGAATTTTTTCAGAGATGTTTTATTTTTACCCTTTGTTCATGGACAAGTATCGAATTTGCCCGGAATAATTTCGGACTTTAATATCCCCACCAATCACCCGTGACTCTCCCGTGGGACCACCGGGCCTGTGGGTCCCGGCCGGGGCCCCCCGGGCCGCCTCGTGGCCCTGCCCTGCCCCGCCTCGCCGCCGAGACCTTGAGGGGCACAACGCACGGCGCGTTGAAATGGAAAGTGAGTGAGCAGAGATCAGAGCGAGGTGGGTCGGGCAGACGCACGGGCCGACGGTCGGACGGACGGGCAGCCTCTCGTGGTCCAGCAGCAAGGCCTCAAACGGTTGGCAGCGCTGCACCAACGCGGGCCGCCGTGCGGGAGCCCGGCGGTGATGCAAGACAGGCAGCGCGACTCGTGTTGTTATTATTTGAGAGGTGTAAACCGTCGTCCAAGTTGTAACCCCTGGCCACGACTAGCTCGTGTACAGGGCGCCCATAGACCCGGCTGGGAATAGAAGATGCCGTCCCAGGCATATTTCAAGCCGCAAGAGGTGTATCAATACATCAAAGGCCCCCCAAAGCCCCAAAGCCCGCGAATATTTCAAAGTCGCATTTGAAATTCTTTAAACCGGCGTTTTTTTGGCTCGATAGAAGGATGAGGGAATGGACACTGCAATTTGATGTTGTACTGCGATGTATGTTGAACAACATGAACCTGCTTCTCTTTTTCTTTTATGCCACGAAACAGGCCTAGCTAAAAATTTGCATCGGACACTGTTGCACGCAGACGGTGCCTGCGCTTACAGTGTCGTCTATACGCAACGCTCGAAAAATGCGCGCGAAAGTGTGACAGTGTGACAGTCTGCATACACGCATGTCCTCGAGTGACATAACAGCACCGGCACGTAATAACAGCCCGTAGTGCAAAACAGAGACACAGAAATGTTTGGCCGTCTGGACAAAGTAATAAAAAAATACAAAAAAAAATTGGATTTGAATCTCGTCTTTTCCTCCGGGCCTAAAAGTTCCGTTGGTCACGCGCGCAACGTGCGCCCGTTGCTGGCGGCCTGACAAACGGCGGCCGTTGCCAACGTCGATACTTGTGGGCTCCGCGATTGTGTCTGTTTGCAGTCGGCGCAGGGAGTCCTTATTGGCAGTGGCGGTTAACTGGACACGGTACAAACTACCGTGCGAGGGCTTATTGACAGTCACTGCCCGTGGTGTTGATACGGCGCTGGGCTCCAGAGCCATGTACTGTTGACTTGTTGGTCGCAGTCAACATATGGCAGGAGGCAAACGCGATGGGACCATCCGAGTGGGTGAACGTCGCAGCGCAGGGATGGGGTCCTCCTAGTTGCTGCACGATGCGCTCCCTCCCTCTCTCTCGCTCTCTCTCTCCGCTGCGTACGCGCACTGTCTCTCTCTCTCGCACCCGCACAACTTACCCAAGCCGGCGAGGAGGGCGAGGGCGAGGACTGCTAAGACTCTCGTCATGTTGCTGCTGCGGCTGCGGCGGGCTGCGGCTGGAGACTGAGAGAGCACCCCACCTACCACACACGCACAGCCCCCGCCCCGCCCCGCCACGCCCCGCCACGCCACGCCTGCACGCCGCGCCCCACCGTGGGCCATAGCCATGTGACCGCTCTGTGACGCGGAGGCCGCACGGCCAGTGGCGTAGTGTAGCGGTCAGGGTGGCGGGGCCGAACGGTCGGTCTCGGAGAAGCTGACCTCCCCGGCGGCCTGCACCACCGCGGCGGCCCCCCGGGTGAGCTTACCCGGCCGCGGCGTTGTCCGGGAGGGGGCCCGTCATCGCCTCGCCCGCCGTGCCGTCCCCACCACTTTTGCTTTCTGGTAGGGGGCGGCCGCCCCACCGCTTTAAGAGGAAGGTGTCTGAGATGTGTTACTGCACATGGAAAAAGAAATAGTGCAACTTTGCAAATCTATTGTAGTTGGCTGGTGGTTTGTTGTGTCAGTTGTGTATCTGAGTCGAGAAATTTTTGTTAGTGTGTTACCTTTTGCTGATGAACCGCAACGCCCGATAACCCACACCACAGGCGCCCGCCCGCCCACCACGCCGACTTCGCCAACTTCTCCGGACCAGTTAATCTTTGGTCCTGCATCAGGGAAATAAACGCGAACGCACCCTCCCTTCCTATCTGATCCGCTTGAGCCATTTTTTGAGCTTTCGTTCGTTATTTGCGAAAGCTAATCCAAAGTTTATCGTACTTTTAAGTGTGCAGCTATAAGATGAAAACTATGTTTCTATAGCCACCGTCTTCTACACCCGCTAAATGGATCTGAATGGTTTTTGTCCTAACGTCTGTGCTAAATACTAGTTGAAATTGGCCAACCAACGTTTCGTTCCGGCGCAGAAGTGCACGATTTCGTAAAGTCAACGCGGAAATGTGTGCATAAAAATGATTCCAATTCGTAGGTAAAAAAGATGCAAACCAGTTAGTTTGTATGGGATTTAGTGGTGCTGCTAACGGATTTTTCTCCATGTGAATTATCGGCCATAGAGTGTAAGCGGGGCGCCTTCCCCTCTCCGGAGCCCACCACCCTACCCACCCTCCCCCGTTCTGGGCCCCGGTATCTCGAACAAGCAGCCATTCCGCTTGGTCCGCAATGAACCCAGCTACACGCTGCATCGCAAAGTGGGGCATATGCAGGTCGGGCTGCTGCCACCTTCCGCACCACGATAACTCGCTTTCAAAACCAACCCGGCGGTAAGTTTGCTTCAATCTGTTCACGCATTCTCATGTTGAAAATGTTTTAGGAACATTCAAAACGTATTTGAAAAGGTTCTTGAAAAAACAAAGAACACTACAAAACCCTATCGGTATGCTGTGTTATGAAAATTAACCTGGTGACGGGTGTGTATTATCTAATTAAATCGAGCCTTCACTGTTATCAACAACGCAAGTGTCAAGTTCAGACAATAGGCTATCCACAAGCATGTGTTCTCGGGACGGGCGAGCACGCTGTACTTATGGGCGTGGTAGGGGGCGGGCATAGCCAAGGCCAGCGGCTCCTGGTCGGCTGAGTCGAAAACGGACCTCTCCACCGCCTCTCTCTCACACTCGTGGTGCGGCCCAGTGAGGTCGGCTGTCGCCAGGAGGATCCGCAGCGGTCACTGCTACCGCCAAAGATCAGAGTTCACCAAGTTAAAGGAACCTATTATCCGACTGTCACCGCTAGGACCGAGGAGTCGTTTCGATGGGCAGTTAAAAGGCCATGCGAGGGCTCGCTCTATAGTGGCAAAGCGCGAAGCTATAAGGTGAACACAGCGAAAAAAATAGGAACAATTTGTGTTTTTCTTTAAACCTGCCCTAGGCTGTTATGGACATCGACACTTTTATCTGAAATTCTACAGGGGTTTATTAGGCGCTTGTATTCCTCGGGAAGGCAACTTATTCGGATTACTGTTATATATTTCCTTCGAAAGGCAGAGCATCTGCGTATGCGGAATATTGCGTGATTGGCGATGACCAAGTCTTTTCCGTGTTTGGCTGGCAGGAAACGTGCAAACGTATGCAACATGGGATGAGCGTCAGAGTCAATGGAATGCCACCGCTCTGCTTTCAGAAAGACAACCTTAAAAATTTTAACAGTAATAAAACATTTATTAAAGTAAAAAACTTACCCTATACACGTTTTTGTACATAAATTATTGAATGTGATCGAAATTCTGCTATAATGCTAATCTAAGGAGTGGTCATCAAACTAAACATTTCAATTCTCTTCAGCTAAATGCAAAATTATTCCTGTATGACAAGTATTTTAACATCACAGTAATGCTTGAAACTCCAATACATCAATTAAAACGCCTATAGATATGCTGTATGAGGTGAATGTCGTTGATTTTACAATGAATGCCTTATCTATGGTATAGGTATGCGTCATTTTAGCACATTATTTCAACGTCCTTTGCACGATCTTTGCCTATGACCTATATCAGTCTAATGCGTTATCCTAATCTTATGCTAATTCCACCTGTTTTTCAATTCTTCTCTTGCTCGTGCATCTACACCTCGGTTGCTGGTGGTGGTGGCTTAGCGTTGCCGTTCTCGTACCATTTTTCGCTGGAATGACAAAATAAAAATCAAATTAGTGACATTTATTAAATCACTGCTCACATTCTAAAAATGTGCATTAACGGAAACGTGGGGACGCGGGTCTGGTTTAAGTTATAACAATTGTACGTTAACTTTTCTTCTAAAAACAACAACTTTCAATTCTCTACGTTAAACGTCCTTATGTCGTATTCAATCCTTTCGATAATAGAGCGAAGCATGACTTTGCGTGAAGATCAAAGCAGTACATAGAATTAAAGTAAACCATTGAGTCCGATACTCTACGCGTCAGGGACAGCAAAGCACGGGGTATCAACGCGATACTGACCATCCCTGGACGTTGCCGGGCTCGTCGCACTTGAAGGTCTCCTCGTTGTAGACCTCGCCGTAAGGGCAAGAACCCGGCTGGGGAACAACGCCGTTTCTGCAGATGTAGAACTTCTGGCAGTCGTCGGCGTGCGGGAAGGTGGGGTGGGGCAGTGGCCTGCCGGTGGGTCCCATGACTTCCCCTTCAGGGCAGGAGAATCCGTCCTCGAGTACATCTGTTCGTGAGAAAAACAATACCTTGAAAAACGGTGTACCTAGTTAATTCCTCTCTTATTGGATGGGACACCTGTTCCATCCTCTTCTCGACACCTTCCTGCGAGAAAGGCTTGGCCAAGTGACCGCTGCAGAAAAAGGCTTTGCCGGCGGGAGGCTGCTAAGAAAGACTCAGTATGGAAAATTTATTATGTGGGAACTTTGGTCTGAACTTATCACGACACTACTTTTTTATGGTGACTTTTCAGCCCACAGTGCTAAGAAAATATCGCCTTAGGAGTCGTTCCAATATTACGTGAATTTTAGGGGGGGCACAAATATTATGGGGTACCAAAAGCATCGGGGCCATCATTAAAGTCCGTACGATCCCATGATATTTGTACCCCGGGGGTACAAATATCATAGGGTCTCTACATGGACTCAAGTTATGTTCCTGATATTTTTGGAACTCCATAATATTTGTACCCCACCCCGTTTAAGTCACGTAGTATTGCGACGACCCCTTGCATGAAGCCCCACAAAGAGACCAACATTCTCCCCCAATAATTTATTTTCGAAAACAATTGTTGAAAAAGTGAAGTGAGGGTCACTCACCCCTCTTGGCGACGCCGCACTCGCGTTTGGTCTCGTGGGGCCAGCTGCAGGTGCCGCGGCTGTCGTCGTAGATGAGGCCCGGCGGGCAGGGCATCACGTGGGCCACGCCCTCCACGCAGTTGACGAACTTGTCGCAGGCGGTCGGGTCGGAGTGCCGGAAGTACCCGTTGGCCCGGGGGCACTCTTTGTTGCCTTTGGGCTCCTCTGGAAGCAGAAGATGAGCCGCGTCTCGTGTGACCAAGGTTGACGAGTATCGATTGCGGGCGGGTTTAAGGGCAAGTTTGACCCCCGGCCTTAGCCAGTCTAGGCCTTGGGCTACATTAACCAGACGGACACGCTTTCCTCGTGTGAATTGCAAGAAAACACGGATCAATTGATTTACACTGTGAAAAATATTCGTGTGAACAGTAGATACAGCTTTATGAACGACTACGTAATTTAACGAACCCACGGCGCAAAGTGAATGCTTCTTTGTTCACACTTCTAATTTACCAACCAGAAGCTTCAGACATCAGCGTTAAACGCAACGCAACGCAACGCAAACTTTGTTCCTTTTTGGAAACAACTTGAAATATCGCAAATCTACAAAGGGGACATATTTCAAAGTGTAAATTAGTGTGACTCACGGAGCTCGCGCCTCTCGCCGCACTCTACGTTGGCCGGGTTGTCGCAGCGCTCGTGGCTCGTCTTCTCGTCGTCGAACACGAGCCCGTCGGGGCACAGCTTCTCCTCGGCCACGCCCTTGGTGCACTTGTAGTAGAGGTCGCACTGGAAGGGGTCAGGGAACACGCCGTTCGGCTCCGGGCACTTGTACGCCGAGGGTGGCGGACCGTCAGGCTGCTGGGGTGCCGCTGTTGAAAACATCAGCGTGATTAACAATATGAAAATTATAATTCACTGGTGAAAAGTAAAAAGGGAGGAAGTCTACGTGGACCTATGCCCTTTCCATTTTACACCAATGAATTTGGCATGCAACTGCGACGGACATTGGATATTTGATGCTCATAATACTTTTTCAAAGTCTATTTAATATTTGGCGAATCCAGGACCTCAGTACCCTGTTTCTAAAATTATAATCTTTGATCTGAGTCATTGTTTTTACTCGGTTGTTTCCAGTTAAATTACATCACAGCACTGTTATTACTCGCCACGCGCCTATTATGGGACTTCCGACGTATAAGGCTTTTGTTGGGTAATAAATCCTGATGAGCAAGAGAGCGCCCTTCCCCGGGGAGGTAAGTGAAGGACCATCTCTCGTACTTTCTACATCGAGATGCCTGTGCTACGTCAGCCTTTCACCCTAAAACCGTTCCCCCTCTATCAAGACTCAAGACTCAGCTCGAGTGGAGCCGTCGCCCGCTACCGCCCACCGCCTTCTCTCTCTCTCTGCTTGTGGGTATGACGGAGAAGTCAAAGCGGCAGTCTTTTGTTGGTTCCTGCCGGGCGAGTCGAGCCGCGCGAAAAGGGGCCGATTACGATTAGGTAATGGACTTGGGCGGCAGTTTTACTGATCGGCGCCAAAAAGCGTCTGACGACTTCCGGAGCGGGTGTGGTGCGTTATCGCAGGACGCACTTGTCCGCTTTTGAAAGTCCTGCTGGCCGCGATCAATTTGTTGCTTATACATTTATTACGGCTGGACGAGCTCTCCGGGCGGGGGTTGCATTCTGGTCTGCACTCTACATGGCAGAAGATTTTTTTAGCAGATGATACCTTACACTTAGACTAAACATAACTATACATTATTTTTGTTCATTGCTGCATGCAAATGTGAGTGCATCGTGCGAAATGTAATTCTTGTAAACCTAAGTACACTAAAAGGTCCTTCCGAAACTGCCACTGCAGAGCCTTTGTACAGATTTTGTATCCGTACGTACCGTAGCGTACGTACCGATCTGATCTGATTTTTTGCTAAAGCACGTCGCAAGTCTTAGTACCAACCAGCTTTGAATAATGTACTTTGTCAGTAGACGAAGTACAAGTCTGTCAGCTGTAAGCCCGTCGACTTATTTTCTATCGTTACTGGTGGTAACGTTTTCCTTCCCTCACTTCAGAAATGTCTTTCAAGTGTGACGTAAAAAAAAAGTCTCGGGGGCTGTCTCAAAACAGTCACCAGAAAGGTGTTGATGTTATTCCTAATGCTATATCGGACTTTTAAATGATTTTTTAACCTCCAACGGGATTTCCCGCTGAACACTCCCACAATGATACAAAGAGTAGCCTGTCAAAATCTGGCGACTTATACATCTAGATTAGCATCATGCTCACTCTTAACCGACAACTTACCCAAAATGACGGCGGGCAGGCATGCTACAAGGATGAGCAACATGATGACGAGCTGGTGCCGCTGTGGATGTTGCTGTGTCCACCTGTGGTCCCCGATGACAACTGCCGTACTCCAACTTGCCTTGCTGCAGCCTGGCGTTGGCCCGCCCGGCCCGGCGCCCCGCCAACCCCACCACCACCTGCCCGACGCGGCTCCCCAGGGCCCCTCCAGGGCCTCTCCAGGGCCCCCCCAGGGCCCCTCCAGGGCCCCCCAGGGCCCCGCGGTACATCAGGTGGCCGTCACGACCCCGCCTACCCTCGCCCCACCACCACCGCCGCAACCAGCCGCAAAGAGATGCCAAGCAAGCCGTTTTCAAATCCGTTACTTCATGACGCATCACCACTTTCAACATTCTTCTCCTCCTGCTGCTGCACACCGCCTTCCTCGATCATAGGTGACAGTACTCCCCCCCCTGCCTCGTCTCTCCTCTGAGGATACCAATAAACCACGTGGATGCTGTTATCATGATCACCAAATGAGTGTTATATTTGTATCCCGGGGTTCCTAGAGGTGCTGAGATAAGATATTTGTACCCCAAGGTACGAATACCATGGTGTGATTCCGAACGTGTTCCTGGTGGCCGTGATAAAAGGACTCCCCAACCTGTCCACTGCCATTACGGACAGCCCCTCTGAAGCAGTCGTTTGCGGTGAGACGAATTTGCACCGTAAAATGCTTGCAAACTATATTCTTTGCAACGTTGCAAAGAATTTGTGGGCTTTGTATTACAATGAAATAGTTCGTATTGCAAAGAAGTTCTTTGCAAGGTGTCAGAATCCTTGCAAACAATGTTTTTGCATTGCAAAGAAATAGTTTGCAAGCTTGCGAAGAACTATCATATTACAATGCTTGAAAATTCTTTGCAAGTTGCAAAGAAAATAGTTTGCAATACGAACCTATTCTCTGCAAGCATTTTGCAGTGTGCGCGATGCAATCTGGCGGCGCGCTTGACCCGTTAGGCGGATGGGTCTCCTGTCGTCCCCTCTGCCGGCTGCGCTCCCGCTCACCCTCCCCGCTGCCGCCGCCTCGCCGCTGCGAATGCATTCCGCAGAGTTGCAAACTGCCCAATATATGAGGAACGTGTCGCAGTCGACCTTTACGCTGGTCATTTGACTGAACACTGCTCCTCACTCACTATGCCACCCGTGCCGTTGATTGTCTTTGTAACTCCAATGAGATGTGGAGGTTGGGGGTGATTTCCGTCCTGCAAGAGTTGATGATACTGCTTTACAGGGTATGACAGGGGTGCAACCAAAAGTAACACAATTGAGGCAAGTGTCTCCCGAATGTGCTAATCTGACCCGTCATAGATATGCGCCAAGAAGATGGCATGTGGCTCATCATAACGAGCGTGTTTTCACTTTCGTAATATCGTCGAAAAAATTAATGTGCCCCAAATGCTTGTAGAATTTGGCGTGCAAACTCCTGGAATGATGTTCGCGTCGTGCCCGTATTATGTGATAGCTTGAACAATAAAATCACGAGTGGAAACCCCCTTGCCCTCCAGCTGTGGATATCATTCGCATTCTCCATGTGCGCGGGCTTGCATACTGTGGTTTGCCTTCCTACAAGTTCGTTAGGGCGTCATTGTGTGAGGCTAACGGGAACCATAAAGAGAGTCAAGAAGGCGGTGGCGGTCCTTTCATCATTGACTAATGGTTAACGAGCGAGCCGTCGAGTGATTTGGCTACTCTGCTGCACGGTGCCGCCTCCGTATCTGGCTCACCGCGGTAAAGCTTTTGAAGCTGCGCCCCCAGCGGTGCCTCTACGTGGATGAAGAAGGCTTGCGTATACACTCTTCTCCGCCGCTCTGGCTGCCTTGATTGGGAATCCAAATCTGAGTCATGCTCCCCCCACCCCCGACCCCCTTTCCGGTCTTCCGTTCCTCGTCTATTCATTGAAAAAATGAAAAGGTGCTCGCTCCCGTGCTCTGAGCGCCTGACGACTCTAGGATAGGCCACCCACCGAAACGGCATGGATTATTGTTGCCTAACCACCGCTACGTATCTTAAAGTTATCAAGATAAGAGTAAATTTTTGTCATTTCCTGAGAGAACACGACTTCACCGATTTCTACTTGGAAGTAAAATCACCCTCTGGTCGAATTTAGGAAAAGGGCTTCACAAAAATTCTGTTTCAAAATTTTACTCTCTCTCTCTCTGTCTCTCTCTCTCTGTCTCTCTCTCTCTCTCTCTCTGTCTCTCTCTCTCTCTCTCTCTCTCTCTCTCTCTCTCTCTCTCTCTCTCTCTCTCTCTCTCTCTGTCTCTCTCTGTCTCTCTCTGTCTCTCCCTCCCCCTCTCCCCCTCCTTTCTCTCTCTTTCTCAACCTCACTAGGTATGGAATAGGCAAGTAACGAATAAAATGGGGTGCTTTATTCTATGACACATAGAAGTTTACAAAATGCTAGCTGTGGAATACCTTCTTCTTGCCGAAATCTTTTTTCCCGTCGCCATCTTCATCAGTGTAGAGCTCCTTGAATTTCGGGTGATCTTTGTAATAATCTTTGCTGTAAGCAGAAGAAATAAGCGTTTTGGGTCAGTTAAAAAAAAAAAAAAAGTTATTTATTGGCAGAGCGGACGCTGGGTTTGCCTACTCCCTCCCTATGCCCGAAAAGCTCCATGGCTCCTCCAAGAGGACATGCAATAGCAATCCCTATCCCGCAGAAGCGCAGCGTCTCCGCTCTGATTCACCCAGCACATGTCTATCGTGTTTTACTATGATCCGAGAGACGGATCGAACTTTTGCATAACGGATGTTAAGAGAACGAGCCAACCACAAGCGCGACTGTAACGCAATATTACGTAAACCACAACCCCGCAGAATTTCGGTAAGGGCGCCGGTGCTGTGGTCTCCTCAGTGAGTCACTGTTTCTCTGTAAGATTTACTCACTTTGTTTATCAAAATAAAGTTCGGGGGAGCAAGGGATACAGTACATTAAAATGGGGAAAAGTTACTATCAAAACATTTTAATTACCTTAGTCTTATTTACAAACACAAATTATAAAACACTTACACTAAAAATTATTATGAAGATGACTATGACAACTGCTTACAATGTCAAAAATGATAAAACATTAACATTTTCTATCAGTCTGCCGCGTTGTACTTGTGACCCACTGGTCGGGGGGAACTGGTTGTGGCAGTGGGAATATTGTCAAACGGTGACCTTTTGGAACAGGTAGCACAACGTGGCCCTGTTACACAACCAGAGTCTCCGAAAGCGAAGACATTTCTTTTCGCAAAAAAAAAGTAAAACGGTAGGAAGAGCCAGAGCTACCTGCAGACGCTCTGCGTGGGGCACGAAAGGCACTCAATTCTCCAATATGGAACCTGATGAATTTTCTAACCGTCTTTCAAGGTTGTGTTCCAAACCGTTAAAGTTAATTTTGATTGCCTTGTCACAGACCTCGCCTCACGGTGATGTTTAATTTTGATCTGTTCTAGTGCAAGGGAAAAATGTATCATATTTGAGATAGTTTGGCTTGGCGCTATCGATCTGTTAAGTAACTCGATACTTTCATTGAGTTAAGTCTAATTATTTCTGTCAAATTTCTTCTTGTCCTTTGCAGCCTGCTTTTGCTTGATCGCGGCAACCTCTGGGTCGTCCTTGTACCAGTCGGCGCTGAAACACACCAAAATCACTCGCGTTAGCAGCAGACTGAGAGCTGAAGGAGGGTGCCTCTCCCGCCCGTTACGCCCTGGGGGATTCGATACCTACCCACGTCACAGCAAGTCGACTTTGACATTCTTCGATGCGGAACTGGTCATACCCAGTGGCGTTTCCTCATGTAAGCCTAACAACGACATTATCTTTTCCATCTTTGCGTCACGTGTCGGGAAAAATAAACTCCCGGATGTATCGCAAAGAAATAAAATGCCCCTAACAAAGCGACCTTTTATAGGAAATCTCATATTCTGCAATTCGAAAGCCTTTTGAATGCTGTGTGTGATGTATGCGTACCTCATGAAGGCGCTCAGTGTCACCTCTGTTGGAGTACCAGAACTGGCGCAACATAATGCTAAACATGATTCGTAGGGGATAAAAATTTTTGGAAAGTTCCCATCGAAAGATTTTTAGGCCGAAAATTTTCAGGATAAATTTAGATAAATACCCAGAAAAATGTGAAAAGAAACAAAAACTCAGAATTTCAAGTCACAGTTTAGAAAAAAATACTTTAAAGAAAAGTAATATGCCTATTTTCGACCCGAAACTGTCATGACACGGAACGGAGCGTAAGCTCTCAGTTTTCACAATGCGCTCGTACACTCACCACTCTGGCACGTTGTCCGGGTCGTCGCACTTGCCGATCTCGTCGTTGTAGACCTCGCCAAGTGAGCAGCCCTGCTCGCGGGGCTGCACCCCGTTGAGGCACACGTAGAACTTCTGGCAGTCGGTGGGGTGGGCGTACTGCGGGTGCGCGAGGGCTTGGCCGTTGCCGTCCAGCTTAGGCTCGGTGGGGCACTGGAAGCCGTCCTTCAGCTTGTCTGTAAATTGGAACGGCGTGCCAACATTTAGTCACGCAAGTTTGAAAGATAAGGGACCTACCTCAAATTAATTACGTTCGCTTTTTTTTTTTTTATATTAGATCCGTTTGTCAGGTTACAGGGGCTCGGCGCCTGTGAAACTCGGCGTAGGCCACCCCGCAGTACACGCAAGCACTGCATACAATGTGTTGCCTACCCGTAAGGCGCTATGAGAGCTTGCATTGGCACTTGGCTGGTTCGTCACGCAACACTACTAATGGTTGTTAGGATAATTTTTACACGGTTCATTTGAAATCGGGGTGGAAATAGATGCGTTTTGGGCGCTAAGGACAATTTTATCATATTGTCCCTGAATTTCCTAGCGTCACCTGTAAACTCTTTTAGATAGCATATCATCCGTGGAGCGGCCCCCTAGCCACACTTGCAATTACCTTGTAAAAGTTGTCCCCCCCATCCACCAAAAACTCCCCGAAAAAAATCTTAAGAATAGTAATAATATTTCTTAGATTTTTATTTGTTTTACACTGCCATTTTGCGTGGCTTTCGAGCCGACTGTAAGAAATCCGTGAGAGACGGTTGTAAATAAATAAATAATTGCCATGATATTTTGATATATTTTTTGGTCATTGCGGTTGCGAGGGAGGCCCCTGCGGATCAGGGGATAGGCAGCCCACCTCGCACGTTAGCCTAGCGGGACAAGGATAGCCATCGAGAGACCGTTATGGCTTTGGCAAAGTGTAACTCAGACCTTGTCGGGCTTTGGCAAGTCTGACGAATATTTTTTTGGGCTTTGGCAAAGTGTGACGAAGACTTTGTTGGTATTGGTCGTATGACGAAGACTTAGTCCGGGCAGGAAATTTTGACCACCTAGGGCTTGTAAAGTGGGGTTGCAAAGCCCAGGGTAAGTAAAATCGCAAGTATTTTTTTTTTATAGTGTTGGTTGCAATCACTCACTTGAGGTGGCGTCCTGGCAGCCCTCCCTCTTGGCGGTGGCCGGCCAGGCGCACACGCCCTGGTACTCGTCGAAGTGCAGGCCGGGCGGGCAGCGGCTCTCGGTCGACTCGCCCTCGATGCACTGGTAGAAGATGTCGCACACGGAGGGGTTGGGGTGGGCGAAGAAGCCGTTGGCGCGGGGGCAGTTGGGGGTCTCCTTGGGGGGCTCTGAGCGGAGAGAAAGATAAATAGGTCTTGAGGTGTCCGTTGTGATTTCTGTTAACTCAAGAGCGCACTTGGGTCACGTGGGCACAAAGGGTACCATCACCCCCTCCCCTCTTTCCCCCCCTCCCCTTCTCCGCCTCCCCTTTTTTCCCGCCAGTCACAGCACATTACGTAATAAGGCATCCACGCCTCGGCGTCCCCGCGGGACAAAAACAGTAAAATAATATTTGTTTCATTACATTTTTTATCACAAAACATTTGTTTTTGGTGTCTGCATTTGCCGAGTGCGACATTTACACACTTGCGGCTCCAGTGCAAACAAAAGAAACATTTTGTGATAAAAATTGTAATAAAACAAATATTAATTTACAGTTTTGCAGTTTAAACTATGTAGTTCAACAGTTTGAACTACGTAAAAATCGTTTAAAACGTAGTTAACTGTCAAGTTGTTATATACAGTTAGATTTGCAGAGGCACATTGACACATTGACACACATTGACACATTGACAAACTTGGGTTTCTGGTGTGGAGTTTGCTATTATTTGCTACTCACGGAGTTTGAGGCGCTCGCCGCAGTCTACGTTGAACGGAGCGTCGCAACGGTTGATGATCTTGTGGTTGTTGGGGTCGAACACGAGACCGTCGGGGCAGTTCCTCTCCACGGATTTGCCGTCGTTGCACTCGTAGTACTTGTCGCAGTACTCTTCGTCCTCGTACAGGTCATACTTTTGGTCGGGACATTTAAACCCGGCGCCGTCTGCAGGAAACATTGAAACAATATATAATTTGAAAAAAAAAAAAACTAGTACTTGTGTTCAATCTGAAACTTCTTTACGATTGTAATAACTGTTATGTAAATTCCGGACTTGACTGAGACTATATAAAATAAGACGATAGTATTGTAATCAGGTCTTGCCAAGATGCACACGATACGCTTTTAATCTACTTCCATCACCTCCACGTACTCGGCTCTACATTTTCTCTTTGTACGATAATCGGTCCTCCTGCTCGGAGGTACTTTCTTTCCGCTCAAGGCCACCGGGGTCGCATCGGAGGGGGGTGGGGGGTGACGTAATACCGCCGCACTCAGGAGTGAGTGGGCAGGGCGCAGACGTATGCTGGGCCCGTCGTGTGGCACCCGGTTACCCGGACACCCGGGCACCCTGTGACAGGGACCGGGCCTTCCCGTTTGTCTTTTTTTTTGAGACCGGCAGTAAATTTTCCGACAAAATTTTCTTTTCCTTAACCCCCGCTCTGCTTTCCTATCTCGCCGGGTTTCTCGGAGACTCTGCCTCCCTCCTCCCCACCATCCCCTCCTTCCCCTCCCCTCCCACATACACAGAAGCAGGGGGACTGGTTGTTGTAACGGCGACTGGCTGGTCGGATTGCGTATTCTGTTACTTCATACTGGAATAGCTGTGCGCGGGCTGAGCCAGGGCGTGGTCGGCGCTAGCGGCCCCCTCCACGGCTGGACTTGGCGCTGCAGATCGCCCTGATCGGTCGGCATCACTCAGTTTGCCGAGCCGTGTTGCGGTCCCTACCCGCCCATAAAATGTAATCTAATCCAACTCGTTTTTCCGTCGTCAAATTAACGCGCCGCATCCAATGTTGACAAGCAACGCCCAGACCAGGAAGTTAGAGTCTGGAAATTAGACGCGCTGATCTGAATTTAGCGGCCGTTTCCAAAACGGAGACGAGTTTGCAAAATGAAGTTGTTGTCTCTAAACATACGTTAAAAATGACGGTCTTTTTCCACCGGCTTAGAAAAGATGTAGACACATATCTAAGTTCTCTTTATAATCCGCATTAAAGTTAGGTCGTAGGTTGTATAGTAAGCAGGATGTACCAAAAAATATATATTGGCAGCCTTTCCCCATACCCTCAAGTTACACTGGCTTGCAGAAAAATGAGCAGTTCCAGAGGACTCTTTCTATGACGTTTGGCTGGGCCGGCCGGCTCGCGGTCAGTTTTGTGCGTACGGTCAGCCCGCGATCAGCCTCATCGGTCAAACCGCGGTCAGCACCTATAACAAGGTTACGGCTACTCACGGGCGGCGGCCAGGACGGCGAGGAGCACCGCGCAGTAGAGTGTCGTCTGCATGGTGGACTCGGCTGGACTGAGACTGCGCGCCCGCCCCGCGGCCTGTAGCCTCTCGCCACCCCGCGGGGCCCCCCTCCCGGTGCGCGCCGGCCGGTCTGTCCGGGCCCGCCATTGGTTGCATCCCTCCCTCCGGGTTGCAGCGGCGGCTATACTGACCGGTTACTTTTACCAATATTTAACCTTCCCTTTGCTGCTTCTGCTGCTGCTACTGCTGCGCGGCCTCGGCCGTCAGCGTTTGGTGACGGTGATGACATCCAGCGCGCGTAACGCCCAGCAGGACCGGAACGAGACCGTAGATTCTTGTAGTCAGTGTTTTTAAGAAAACAATTTATTTTTTTAGAAGTAACTTTGACAAGCGTTATACTTTTCACTCGACGTGACAGGTGCTGGTCCTTCAGCAACCTTGCCACCCTAAAAATAACAATGAAATTATTTGTAGAACTTCCAAAATTTTGCAGGAATTTTTCAGCTCAGACCACCTTTCCAACGCAAATTTTTCATTTTTTAAAATGATAAAGTTTTAGAGAAGGCGTCATTCATTCGCACAGCGAGAAGAAAGCTGCACCGTGTTGTGATTACGACGTACTTTGATATCAAAGAGAGGGTAATTAAACGCCGGTCCTGCTCCTTCCCCGCTCCCCTTCCTCCCCCTTCACCCCCGCCCCCGCGTTTCCGTCCCCTCCGTCCCCTTCGCCGACGTCCTCTTCCAGAACCCGGAATGGAATTGGACGGCGTGAAACTGGTGCCGGCCTCTTGCTTTCCCTCGGCGCGCGGGGCGGGCTTTTGCTTTTAGCCCCGGCGGGGTGATCGCGCTCGGCTCCGCGCCTTCAGCAGCTCCCACTGCTGCCAGTGAAGCATGACGGCCCCCCACTTGTAGACAGCAGAGTCATTTGTTTTTGTTTATTTTTTGAAATAAATAAATTTACAGACTGTGCAGTTTGCTTGTTATGAAAACATACCTTTATGTGGAAATATTTCCATTATTGGTTCTTAAAAGCACTTATAGACGAAAGGAAGCCCTTTGATACCGGGCTATGCTAAAAATTTCATATCCACGCCTTGATTTTGAGTTTCAGCACGATCCAAATGATTACATTAAATTTGTTTTTTTGTATTAGAGATAGATACGGTCTGTGTGTTTAGTGAGCGTACGCGGAGGGATTCAGGGAAACTTTTTTAAACGTATCGAAAAATAATTTATTTGTATCATTTTAACAAAATTGGCCTCATAATCGTAGCCGTGGCGATTTCTCTCAGTCATTTTATAACAAACGTTCCCAGGGAGCAGTGCAGATGGTTTGACTACACAATGTCTGTGGGCATAACATGAGTTAAAACCCTCTGAAGGCAGTTTTCCTTTCAATAACAAGTGCAGCATTCAGATTGAGGCTTTTTACAATGATTCTTTACAAACTAAATTGCGAGTTTTATGCTTAATCGAGATTGCTAATATCAGATAGCAATCACTTGACACATTATTGCGTGATCTGTTTTTCTTGAGACGAATAATGACCCGGTAGTGTAATAATGCATCATCCATGAAATCCCATATTGTTTTCTGAAAGTCTTATTTTCTGCTCTGTGTGCAAAATGGCAGGCCCGTCATCGGCCTCTCGCAAACCACATCAAACCTCCGAGAGTGGACATCTGACGCGGATTGGGTGTGCAGCGATCGATTGCCTGATCAACCGTGCAACGGGAGGATGGAACCAGGGGCGTCGCTCCACCGCTGGCAAGTCTCGCGCTTTCTGAGGTGAGTCTAGGCTGCAAACTCGTCGTCGCTCTGCCGAGATGAAATTTTTCTCGCATACCGCCACTGTTTGCGGGTGTCCACCACCCCTGCCGGAGCGCGCACCCGCGTAACCCTCCCGAGGAACATGAGTAGGGCAGTCGTTACTGTTGCGACTGAACCCCAAGTGTCGTGAAACCAATCGGACTAGAAAATGATTGCTCGGCCGCAACACGGCGGGGCCGCCGCGCTGTTCAGTCCTCGTTGCTATTTTCTTTACAGCCGGCTCTCTGTCATCACAGTTGGTTCTCTTCTCGCCTCCCCCCGAGCCTATCGCTCACTGCTCCTCGTCGTCCTCCTCCGCGGCGGGCTTGGGCGCGGCGGTGGTCTTGGGCCTGGACCGCGTGCCCTTGGAGCCGTGGCGCGCCGCCGTCGCGGCCGGGTCGCGCTTCTTGGGCTTGGGGTTCTCGAGCTCCTCCAGCTCCTGGTCCGTGAGCACGCCCTTGTACCAGTCCTTGCTGTGGGGAAAAGTGGGACGATTACCAACGGCAAATTGGGCACTGTCGAATGGCCTTTTCAAAGCGCCCTAGGTAGGGATTCTAAAATCGGACATTTTCCGGAAAAATTCCAAACATTCCCCGAAGCAAAATGGTTTTATGAAAAAATTCTAGGGAAATAAAAGAGAACTTACCAGCAAAAGATTCAGACATTAAAAATATATATCCAGAAAAAAATCCCAAAAATACTTTACTGGCAGCTTAAAACTTCTAGCTCTAACCGGCCCTAACTACTGAGGGCAGGGTTGACAATAGCTCAAAAACATCCGTGAACTCAAGTATCACATAAGCCTTAAATGTGACGAAAAATTTTGTGAGGTCACCTAATACAATGCATCCGGATTGAGAACGTGTGTCCTGACTGCTTTTGTTCTAACACGGTAGGTCTCTTTTGAACTCCTCTACGGTACAGTTTTCGCATATCGAGCACTTACCACTCCGGCACCTTGCGCGGCCAGTCGCACGTCTTGGACGACTCGCTGAAGACCTGGCCGCGCTTGCAGCCCGACCGCCTGGGCGTCTTGCCGTTGACGCACACGTAGAAGTACTGGCAGTCCTCCGGGTCGGCGTAGCGGGGGTGTGTGACGCCCACCTCGTCGGTCACGTTGGGGCACGTGAACTTGAGCACCTCTGCGAAACGGATGGAAATTTTAGCACGGGTCCCAAGTCTAGCAGTAAGGGGCCGGAGCACAAAACTTAAAGGTAGAGGTATTATTGTTTCTTTTTCATTAGATTTTAGGGCTGAAATCGTATGTTTTTTGGATGCCATGATGAATGAACCTTGGAACATTTTTTCATGTGTGGCCACTTGTTTACAACAACATGGCCTCTGAGAAAACGACCTTTAGCCCTAAACTCGAATCAGAATAGCCGTTGAAGACGTTTCCCCTCCTTAAAAATGAAGTACATTGTGTTGTGTCGCCCGTGATTTGTTGTGTCACGTTTGTGCCTCACCTTGAGAGGAGCAGCCCTTCTTTTTGGCTTCGTCGGGCCAGGTGCAGGTGCCCGTCGCCTCGCTGTAGACCAGCCCGCTGGGGCAGGTGATCATGTTGGACTTGCCGTCCACGCAGAAGTAGAACTTGTCGCACACGTTGGCCTCCTCGTGGGCGAAGTAGCCGTTCTGCCGCTCGCAGTGCAGGCTGGGCTTTGGCGTTTCTGCGAGGAAAAGTAGTCGGTCAAGGAGCGATTCGTCCAGCTTAGCACCCGAGCACGTTGGGTTGCCTAGCCTGTAGGGGCCTCCCGAGTGCCATGGCGACCGGGGGCCAGCTGGGGACGGGCGTGAGTTCCGTAGGTCCCTAGATTCCAGGTTTTACCTTAAAAACTATCCTGGTCACATGAAACTCGTTTTTGTGTTATTATAGTATACGTCATAACTTTTTAGTCGAAGCTGATGCTGGTCTTGATTCCCTGTACGGTTAAAACAAAAGTGCTAAGGTATTTGGTTGACCCGAAACGTCTAACTCGTTTTCCTCGGGTGGCTCCGGTTGAACAACAACCTGACTTTGCCTCACTCATAACGTGTTTTCTGTGCTTACGTTTCTCGGGCCGCTTGGAGCAGTCAATGTTGAAGGGCAGGTCGCACTTCTCGTACTCTGAGCTGTAGTCGTTGAAGACCATGCCGTCGGGGCAGAGCTTCTCGGTGATCTTGCCGTTCTTGCACTCGTAGTACTTGTCGCACTGGTACGCGTCGGCGAAGTAGCCGTTGGGCTCGGGGCACTCGTCGGTCAGGTCGCCGTCGGCATCGTCGCCGGCGGGGGCCGGGGTGGCCGCGGGGGCGGCCGCGCCGGGCCTCTGTTTGCGCGGGGGGGCTGCTGCACCTGAGGTGAGGACACAAAACTAATTAGATTCGCAAACTGATTTAGGATTGGCGACTTAAAATTAACGAAATTTTTAATGTTTAGATGAAAAAATGGACCGAATGGTGATTAATAAAAGAAGTAGTTTGAAGCTGTAGAACAAATCGTAAAGTGGTTTAAACAGTTTTCAAATATTGTGCGATGATAAATATGCTTTTGGCTGTTTTAATGTCTTTGTACAAACGCAACGCACCCTTTGCAGGTGTGACTTTTCTTTGATTTTGCTGTGTACCGTGCGCTTCCTCGTGATATGTCTAATACTTGAGGTTACTGTAGAGGACTACGCCGTGTAAAATAGCTGCGTGAATTCTCACCGCCCTCTCTACCTTCCTCATGAACGAACTCATTGCTGCAGCCTGCCTTGGTGCTGGGCGTGGCGGGGCGTGGCGTGGCGGGGTGGGGTGGGGGCACTGAACACCAGGGTCATATAGAGCTGGCATACGTCTTCCGCTTTGTATGGCCGCATTGGGTTCCGATACATGACGCGCACTACAAATAGGTTATACTTGCAGAGCTCAGTGCGCGTCACTGTGACAGGGAGGCGCGCTTACACTCCGCGATATGTCTTTGAATAAATTCCCAATTTATCTCAACGTAACCTGAGTATCTGATGTAAGTTAAAGCCCAAAGTAACTTGCATGCTCGACGATGTAAGTAGCCGGAGAAACTTAACTGCCCGAGCCCGAAGTAATTTATGCTCCCGAAGTAACTCGTGTGCTCGAAGTAACTTAAATACCCTAAGTAACTAGAGGACCGGAAGTAATTTGATGTCCGCCGTAACATGAATGTTCAAAGGAGCTTGTTTGTGACTCAATTAAAGAATTAATATGAAACAGTAGGTGGTAGGTATGGTTACTGATTGACATTTGATGAAGTGCTAACGCCGCGGGTTGGCAGCCTGGCTGTGGCAAAGGGGAGAGGAAGGGGGCAGTGAGAATGCACCTTCGGCTCTTTCTTGCGTTGAGGTCTCTGGCCGGCCGGCCTCACTGTTTTGTGCAGCCGCAGTCCGTATTGTCCAACTTGGCGATCAGCCAATGTTACTGCAGTGACGGCGCTCGGTCCGGTCGGTAAGAAAACAAATGCTGTACGAGGTGAAGCGGTTTGGAGCGAAGTACAAATCCATCCGAATGTATTCACCGCATTTGTATGTGTTTTGGAATGGAAATGATAAAAACAGGCCTCAAACAATCATCTAGTAGACTGACTTATTCTGTCAAACTGAACTCTTCGCATTGTGTGGTCGATATACCGTAATATATTTCGACCTTGTTCGAGCATATCAACTCCCTGCATCTCGACGTTCATTGTTTTTGTTGCAGTCAGTGAGATCATTATTTCACAGGGTACTTTCACCCAAATCATTTCAATGTCGTTCACATGCCTCAATCACCTCAATAAGTGATAGAATGATGATGGTCTTTTAAAAGAAGCATTCTCACCCCTTCTAATCATTCGTCCCAAATGAAAGAAAAGCTCATTTTTTATTCAGCCTGCTGTTACCTTAGCTTCCGCATTGTTCGTTTGGCTGCCTTCGTTCCGTGGCAGCCCCCCTTACCCTCGTAACCCCCCACCCTCTTCCTCCCCGCTCCTCTCCGCCCTACCCCCTCTCCCTCTCTTTTTCACACTCTCAATAGCAAACGCTTCGCAGCCGGCACCTTCACCGCGCCGCCGGAACAGTTTGGTGTGTGCGTGTGTGTGTGTGCATGCCTGTTAGTCGGTGTGCGTGTGTGAGTGCGTCTTATCACACACGGAAGAAAGTGCGAGAGCGTGACAGGCTGCGTCGTAATAATCTCTCGGTAATCCACCCCCCCTCCCTCTCTACCCCATACCGCTCCAAACATTGTATTGTGGTGATGGAAAGCAGTCAAAAATTAAAGTAAATACAGCACACGTCGTGCTAATTAGTATTGTTACTCGCTAATTAATATGTTTACTTCCTAAATAATCCTTGATAGATGTACTTTTTTTCCACCTTTCTTACTTTTGTAAGTGCGCTGCATTATTGAATCGCTTTTCGTATTTGAATGTGACATCTTTTAGGAAGTCAACCTTAGTCAATGAATACGGTATAAACAACATCCTGGAATTCATGTGTATTTGGCCTTTTCAAGCTGTCATTTTCACCATGAGGTCATCCATGGGCGTCTTCAGCAGGCGCCCTTCGTGATCAGCAAATAACTTGAACCATTCACGCCTATGTCCTTCCTCTTTATGCTCATGGGTATTATACCTGGCGCCCGAGTGTCACCAACGCTCGCCCAGTCATGGACATTCGGTCGTGCAGTTTGTGGGACACAACCCTGACGCAATAATGAAAAGGTTAAAAAAATGAACCCTCCGGAAAGAGGAGATGAGTGGCTGAAGACGACGTTCACGATAAAAACAACTTTTGAATTTTTAAGAAAAAAAGAGGAAAGTTTGAGAAACTCCCATACTTGAGGAAAAACTTCTTAGATTCTGAGGAAGTTTCCCAAGAAATGTGTTTTTTTTCAAATCATTTTCTTAGAAGATCTGAAAATCTGAGGAGTTTTCCCTCAAATACTGGTGTTCCTCAAATTTTACCCCTTTCCCTTTAATATTCAGACATTGTCTTTACCGTGTTACGCGTGTTTGTGTTAAGTTGCAGACCCGGCAACAGCAGGTTCAATGTGGTGCTACGACTGCAGTGATCAAAGTACAAACACATTGATGTGGGGTCTGAGAGGTTTAAGCCCGTTCGGTGGGCTTGGCTCTGGCGCACTCAAAGTACTGCCACCTGAAAACTGTGGTACGATTACTGCAAAACTTTACATTTATTTTCTATCACAGAGTTTTTGCCCCTGAACAATTTAATATTTGATAAAAAAATCTATCGGAAACAGTGCAGGTAATTTTCATGTGCCTGTGGTGATAATTTAAATTATGCGCACCGCACAGCATAATCAAGTGCGTGAATTTCGTCGCGAAAGATATGCGAAATCTTCTTTCGCACAGTTGTAGGTACAGGGTGTCATGATCGCGTGGCATCTATATGGAATTCCTAAGCAGGAGGATTCACACATCCGCACGGTACAAGTGTGCCGGATGGAGTATTCAAAAGTGCGCGCCGGTGTGGGCGCGATTTACTTACCAGCGAGGGTGAGCAGCGCGAGCAGCAGCGCGGCGGCGTGGGTGTGTCTGGCCATGGCGTGGTGGCAACACGGAGCGGACTGGACATCCGCGACCTTGGCGGTGCCTTTTAGCTCCGCTGCCCCCTCCACGGCCCCCACTCCCACCCCCGCCCCCACCGGCCCATGCCCATGGCTCGGCCCATGGCACGGGCCCATGGCACGGCCCACGGAGGGGGTGCACCCCACATGTCGATACCCCCGCCGCTGCTACGAGAGGTACTTCAATGTTACTTGATAAATTGATAATGTTAGCGAGTTTTTTCTGTTGATTTTTCTGAATTGTCAGAGGGGTAGATTTTGCCGGGGGGGGGGGGGGAGGGTCATTCGAGACCCCGTGGGTACTTTCTAACAACCAGAAAACCGTTTCCTTGAATGAAGGAATTTTTGGTCTGCAGTTGAGGGCAGGATTGTTTTTTTCGAAAATTTAAAGGTACTCTTTAATACAAAAAAATGAAGAACTTCTCCTGGAGTTCAAATGAACTTTCCTTTGTCTCCTAATGTAGGTCAAAAAATCTTGTATTCAAAGAGACGATGTCCTGGGAGAACCAGAAGTTATCACTCTTGTGCTGCTGTTTTTTTACTGGATATTCTTATAATGACACGCACCTGCAGAAAAGTAAACTCAAATTTGTACAAAAGTCATTTGTTTTAATTAAGATTGTTTATTAGACAACGAGGCAGTACCGCGCTCAACACATTATCATTCACGGACCATCCCATTTCACTTGAAAACGACGGATAGAACATTTAGCTAAAACATCAAAAAAATAAATTAATATAGCAACATATATCACATGATGCGTGAAAAGCGAATGGAAGCTCTCCGAAAATAGAAGGAAGAGATCTTGACATGTTTAATTACTCGAATCGAGTTGATCATAGTCATGGTTCTAGTGACGAAACAGTTCTTTTACATATTACAAAATGGACGGTATTCAAGCAATTATCTTGATCAATAAATTGATATGATGACAGGACATGAAATAACAATTTCTTCGTGAGGTAATGAAGTAGCCTTAACTTAGCTAATCAAATGAACACAATAATAGTAATCGTAGAAAAAAGTTACGAGCACAAAACATAGTGTGGCACAAACACAGTGCTTGTTACGACACATCCTACACAAAAGAAACTGTAAATTTTACTGTTGACTGGCACATATTTAACATATTTAATTTGTGCAACTGTGCCATCTATAGGCAATATCTGTAAGGCATAGTATTACAGTTTCCATTTTTTTTTCGAAATGTTTAAATTAAATCTTACAACAAGTTTCATGCTTGTCTTTGAATAAACATATATTCAGATTCTTTGGTGCACATACCTACACATACCATATGATGCTTTTAAAAGAAATTCTAAATCAGAAGTTAGACACAAAAGCACATTTCTCATTGAAAACAAAGAAACGCCCCTTCTCCTGAAAGGAAGAGGGGAAATATTCTGCCAGAGTGGCAATAGTTTGCAGAAATAGCACCTTGTTGGCGAAACGCGTTGCTATCACACTACTTGGCGCAAAAAGCAACGGTTTTTGACCAAAAATAGAACCCTTCTCAGGGCTCGTCATCCAATCGCTTCATGTGGAGTTTCACCTGAAACAATGAGAACAAGTAAGATTAGGGATGAATCTAAATATATTAATAGCTCCCTGCAAATATGGCAAGCCATATTCTACTGCGCTTGTACAAGAACATCCGATCTGCGCTATATTATGCTAAGGCACCCTGCAAGAAAAGAAAGCTCTAAAAGATTAATGTGTTTTTTGTACCATTGTGCAAACACATACTTTGTAGCAGTGTACGATTATGTTGTTGTCAAGGGTAGATTCGGTCGTCTATGGACTTGGCTCGGCGATAGTTCCTCAGCATCTGCTTGGATAACCTCCGGACTGCTTCATCGTGTACGCCCTGCCAAAAAACGAACCGACCAGCCGATAGGGGGCGGTTTTCCCATCACCAGGAAGCACTTGCATGCACGCTCTAACTCGTACACGTTCTATCTTTCTACTGGCTATGACAAAGACGTATGAAGTCTACTTGCAGTAGTTCCCTCATATTGACGAGTTAGTACTGTATTCTACCTAGTTGAGTAAAAGTATAGCACCATTCTCAAAGCTGAAAATTGACATGCAAATTATAAAACTGACATGCACATGCTGTACTTTTTTCTGTAAACATTACCCCTTACAATTAGAAATCGACCAACTTTTCCATTAGTTCACTTGGCCCAGCTCGTGACTAATTTAAGCCTTTCCTCCAATTTCGGTTTTCTCTTCAAGCACGAGGGAGCCTTCAAAGGTCTAAAGGTCTCCCTTCGTTATAATCATAATAGCTCGGCCGGAGTAAGAGGGAGGGAGAGCGACGGGAGTGGTTGGGTTAGCCTGTCATTAGCACAGCGTATGACAAGCCCTTGGACCACCCACTCTCCATCCTCTTGACCTTCCCTGAGACCTGAGTTGACCCCGCCGACCGCACAGAGCCATGTTAGAGCTCTGCAGACGAAGCTGCCCGCCTGCACTGTACCGCTAGTATTGTTCCCCTCCAAGAGCCCTACACCTGATTAATTGCTTTAATTTCTCGAGTGATTCATCAACCCAACCTTCAGGATCAGCACTTCACTATTGACCCACAGCATGCCCTCCGAGCTGACTTATTGCGATACATTTATGGCTCTGTTAGTCTCCAAAGACTTTTTCAGCTTCGTTACCTCCTTGTCGCTGGTGCTGACGACGGTGTAGGTGGTCTGCGACTGAGTGGGCACGGGGGCGGCAAACACGAATGTGTACAGGAGACCTGCAGCCATACCTCCGGCGCAGGGTCCGAGCCAGTAAACCTGGTAGATAACATTGCCCGTCGATCATCAATCCCACAGTTTGCAGGGCCGCCCTTTAAATCAATGCCACACGAAACTTACCCAGTGGTGCTCAAAGTCCGAGGTGAGAACGGCGGAGCCGAGGGAGCGAGCCGGGTTCATTGACGATCCGGTGTAGTCAATCTGTAAGAATGGAAAAGTTCATGTGGTCACGGAAATAATTCATGGAACTGTACTGTACTTAAAACTATTATTACTTCAGCCCCTAAGTAAAACAAATAAAAATGTGTTAGGTGTTAAGCTTTCGTGCGAGAAAATCTGAACACAGATTTTTATATGTCAATTTGAAAATGAATTTTGCTGTTCTAGACTAGACTTGCCTCTTGATTAATTGTTTTTCCTAGAACAAGGAAATACGGTCAAGGTGTGAAAAAAAAAGGTTTTAAACGCCAAAATTTTTCCGAAAAAATTCGAAACTTTTTAGAAAAAATGAAAAAGAACTGAAATATTTCCAGAAAAATTAGAAAAACTTAAAGAGTATCGGGGAAATTTTCAGATATTCAAAAAAAAATAAAAAATCCATTTTTTTTTTCTAAAACTACTTGACCGGAGAATTAAAATCTCATTGTATGAGGGTACAGTAGCAGTAGTCGCCTTCTCAATAGGCAGCCCATCGCACGGGCGCGCGTGGCGGGTGGCATCGCCACGGCGCTACCCCGCGGCGCCCGTCCGCAGATACGCCGCGCGTTCTTGCCGCTACTCACGGTGGCGAGGTGTCCCAGGGCGACGGTGAGGCCGATGGCGAGGGGCGCGGCGTACTTGCACTCGGGCCGGTTGGGGTCGCAGACGGCGAACACGACCAGCACCAGGACAAAGCCGAGCAGGAACTCGACGCCGAAGCCCTGCGCCGTTGTGATCCCCTTGGCGGTGAGCTTGGTGTTGCCGAGGACCTCGGTGAAGGACTCGGGGGTGACAGCCTGCAACAATGGAAGAGCGTTCGTGATCGGCGTTTTGGTGGACGTGAGATATCAAGAAACCTGTTACGCGAGACGTGGTCTGGCGGACTTCAAGCTAGTTTTAAAATATAAAAACGAATTTAATGGGATGTGCTACCTACCTTGACGAGTCCTGTGCCTATGATGGCGCCGACGCTCTGGGCGATGATGTACAGGATCCCCCGGATGACGGGGGTCTTGCCCGTGGCCAGCATCCCCACGGTCACGGCCGGGTTCACGTGGGCCCCGGACACGTGTCCGAACACCTGGAACAGTCCGAAACAGGGTCACGGCGGTGTTGCTGGCAGGGTCTTGCCGCATCCTTTGCGCCTCGGTCACAGTGAGATGGGCCAGGGCCTAGTTAGCGCCTGCCGCCCCCATCTTCCGCCTGCTCTAGTCGCGCTGGCAGCCTAGGGCCACCTCAGATGGATCCAAGGAGAAGTGGGCTTGAACTTCAGTGGTTTTGATTATTTGCAAAGTACATTTTTAGACAGTCCTCTAAGAGACTGTTTTTACCAGAAGGCAAAGTCTCGTTTTCTTGGCTGGATCAGGTTAATCCGGGGGCAGTGTGCATGCAAGATAAGAGATGCGCTTACTGATGCATCTTTCAATTGACAAAAATGATTGTTCTTTGACATTTAGACCACGGGACGCAGTTTAAAAAGTTGCAGCAAAAGGTGATTAGCTCAACCATTTTGGACGCTCTTCTCATGCACAACGTACAGTTATCCGCCCGCAGTGAAAAGGAGAGGGAGTGGGGGGGGGGGGGATACGGAAAAGCACGCAAGGAATAGAAAGAGACAGAGAAAGGCTAAAGCTGGGAGTGCGTTATGAGCGGGAACGGCGCCGCCATTCAAACGCGCCCATGAGGCCCCTCCGCCCGGCCCACTCGCGCGCCCAGCCTGGGCTGATCCCATGAATATCCGATGCCCCACGCATTATAGTGGCTCACGGCTCCTTCGCCC